GCTATTATATTACAGTCCAAAAAGTTTTGTTTTTTTTAAATGCAAGCTATTGTGACACCAGTGAGTGAGTGGTGGCACTGGGCAGGCCCTGAAACGCACACTCGTGAAGGAAACTGACTGCTATTATATTACAGTCAAAAAAGTTTTGTTTTTTTTAAATGCAAGCTATTGGGACACCAGTGAGTGAGTGGTGGCACTGGGCAAGTGGGCACAGTATATGCTGTGAGCCTGACACACAGGCTGGCAGGCAGGCAACTACAATTACATTACACAGAAAAAAAAAGCAGACTGATGTTCTAGCCCTAAAAAGGGCTTTTTGGGGTGCTGTCCTTACAGCAGAGATCAGATGAGTCCTTCAGGACTGTAGTGGACACTGAATACACTAGCCTAGCTATCAATTTCCCTATCAAATCAGCAGCAGCTACACTGTCCCTCCTCTCACTAAGAATGCAGCTTCACAATGAATGTAAAATGGATGCTGTCCAGGAGGTGGGAGGGTCTGGGAGGAGGGTCTGCTGCTGATTGGCTGGAATGTGTCTGCTGACTGTGAGGTACAGGGTCAAAGTTTACTCAATGATGACGAATAGGGGGCGGACCGAACAGCGCATATGTTCGCCATCCGTGGCGAACGCGAACAAGCGATGTTCGCCAGGAACTATTCGTCAGCGAACCGTTCGGGACATCACTGGTTACCAACATAGTGTCAAATTCTGGCCTAAGTGCCACTGTATTCGGGATGGTTAGCCGAGGGTATTCGGCTCTAAGTTTAGCTTGTATCTCCTTTTCTAGGGGCTTACATAGCCACATCTTACAAAAGTTGGATATATGAGCAGGCAGGGCTCATTCGGCAGAGCGAGGGTGTTTAATGACCCTAGGATCAAAAAAGGGAACGCCCAAAGCATCCAGAAGGGTGTCTGATTCGGGTTCCTTGGTTTTAGCATGACTTGAATCTGAGTTTCTGTACTCAATATAAGACTCAATATAAGTCTCTTTGGCAAATTCCGACGAGGGGTCTCGTAGCGCATTCGCTGAGGACTCCCCATCAGAATAGCGGAGATAGTAGTCATCAACACAGATGTAGAACCCTATAAGGGGTCTGGAGTAGCCTGGTCTTGTCGGGTGAATGATAGCTTAAGGGACTAAGCAGGAGCCTTGCCCTTTCCTGCAGATGCACTATCCCCTTCCCAGGGACGTTTGCGTGTTACCTCCTCCTGATCCGAAGGCTGAGAGTCTTCAGAGTCAGAGGGTAGGCGTGTAGTGGGGTTAACTTCTGTAGAGGTTTTATCATGAAAGGCTGCTAGAGCCTTAGGAATAGATTCTGCAATAGTGGAGAGGAGCCATGTGCGCTGTCCCTGTGAAATTGCAGGCTCAGATTGATGAGACATATTTGGTCTATATGTGTGGTAGACTGCAATAAATAAATCAAGAAACATGCAGTAAGTAGGGGTCACCCACTGTGTAATAAAAGATAACCGTAAGTGCGGCAGTACAACAGTTAGTGCGGTTAGCCACTAATTTATAATAAGTGGGTTAAACCATAATAGGGATGATAACTGGAGTTGGGGTTCACTCACTGTATTTTGCACCTGTAAGGTTCAAACCAGGAATATGTATGCAATAGCAATAAAAAAATATGAGTGGGGTTAGCACTAATAAATTCAGTTCACCTTGTATCAGACCATTAGTGGGGGTCACCCAGTATAATATTTAAGTGCTAATACATTTTAAAGATAAATGAAAAAGTGGGGTCACCCATAAATATGCTCATATTTTGTTATCTGTAAAAGGAAAAAATAGGCAAAATGAGTAACAAACTCTAACTGAATGCACAAAAAAAAATGTGCTCAAAGTTAAATTAGTACTTAACGATCCGGTGGCAACATCTGGTGAAGAAACAGTCTGTTTGCTTGCAGACCGTAGTGCTGAAAGAGCGGGAAAAAAGACCATCGCAAAATGGCCGCTGTCACTCAGAGGGCGGGAAAGAACGCGTATCATGAAAAGGACAAGGAGAAAAGGGGTTACATTCTATCACACGGTCTGCAGCTCTGCACCCGATGGAGCTGCATAGCGGAGCATTAACACACCGGACCACTGGGGAGAGACACTGGACCACAAGGGAATTTATTAAAGGTAGGACACAGCCCCCAGACCCTGCCCCCCAATGTAACCCCTTTTCTCCTTGCCCCCCCACACACTGTAACCCCTTCTCTTCCTGCCCCCTCCCCACACTGTAACTCCTTCACTCCCTGCCTCCCTCCCCACACTGTAACCCCTTCACTCCCTGCCCCCTACACTATAACCCCTTCACTCCCTGCCCCTCCCACACTGTAACCTGTTCTCTCCCTGCCCTCTCCCCACACTGTAACCCCTTCTCTCCCTGCCCCCCCCACTGTAGTCTTTTCTCCCCCTGCCTGCCCACTGTAACCCTTTCTCCCCCTGTCTGCCCACTGTAACCCTTTCTCCCCCTGCCCGGCCACTGTAACCCTTTCTCACTCTGCCCGCCCACTGTAACCATTTCTCACCCTGCCCTCACACTGCCCCCCACACTGTTAGCAGCACACACACTCCCTCCCACACCCTCACCTCCTGTCTCTGTGTGTTTGTGTATCTGTGTGTCCTTTTGTGTCAGTGTGTGTGTATTTGTTTGTCTGTGTGTATTGTGTGTCAGTGTGTATCTGTGTACATGAGTGTCTGTGTATCTGTGTGTGGGAAACTAGGTGTCATTGTGTGTCTGTGTGTATTGCTGTGTCAGTGTGTGTATTTGTGTCTGTGTGTGTCTCTGTATGTGTGTGTATGTGTATACACTGTACACATACTCCATACAAAAAACATGCTTACATTCAAATACACATTGTGTATATCTATATTTTATAAACACAATATACACACACTGCATCCACTATACACACACTGCAATCAAACGCAAACATTACATACAAACACACCCCTGCATTAAAACACTAAAATTATCGACAAACACCCCTTCATTCAAACACCAACACTACACACAAAAAGCACACCTGCATTTAAAGTCCTACACTACATACAAACACCCATGCATTCAGACGCAAACATTACAAACAAGTACACCTCTACATTCCATTGGCAACAGTACATACAAATACACCAATACATGCTTATATTCAAACGCTCAAACACTGCTCACAAATATAACCCTGCAATGATGCACAAATGGTAGATCCCCATCTGGCATGGCATTGTTGAAGTTCTCCGACAGATGGAGATCTACCTTTTGGGCACACTTGCACTAGAGGGGGACCCCGAAAACATACTTGAACCAGGACCCTCTCTACATTCCACCACTGGGATAATCAACATGAGGTGCCTGGATGAAAGAGCAGGACAACAGCACTTCTGATTCTGAGTCTGTGAGTAAGCAGTTGTATGTCTCTAAAACTGATTGCCATGATGTGCAAAGTTTCTGCCTCTCAAACTGCCATGATATCCCAGAATTATGCCTCTAAAACTGCCATGTTATGCCAATTGTATGCATCTAAAAGCTGATTGCCATGGTGTGCCAATTTTATACTTTTAAAACTGATTGCCATAGTGTGCCAATGTTATGCATCTGACTGTTTGCCATGGTGTGTGTCAGGGTACCTGTTGGTGCTGACTCCAAGGAGGACATCCTCTCTGCTTAGGGGCTCCCTGCCCCTAGCATTTCGGCAAATTCCGGCCGTTTTCGCGCCGGACGTGCTAGCTCCTCCCCCTTTTATGACGCGACGGCTAGCGTCGACGTCATGACGTCAGCATTACGTGAAGTGCCGGGAACCGCAATTCCGGACCTTTTGGGGGCGTGGTCTCAATTAAGGTGACAGGGTATTTAAGGGAACTTTTACTACTGCTCATTGCCCTGTCGTGGTTCTAGCTTGCTAGTCACTCAGCGTGTTCTCTCTCTTAGTGTTTTCGGTTTTGACCTTGCTTGTCTTTTGTCCAGTTGTCCTCTCCTCTCCTTTGACTCAGCTTGTATCTCGCTTACCTGTCCTCCGGCTCCCTCGACCTCGGCTTACCTTTTGACTATTCTTGTTTTGTCCATACGTTAGTCTGGCCATTCTAAGGTCCGGTATACGTACCTCCTTCTGTCCGCACTCTGCGTATTGGATCCCTGTCACTATCCTGACAGTGTGCCAGTTGTATGCCTCTGAAGTTGATTGCCATGATGTGCCAAGTTTATGCATCTAAAGCTGATTGCCATGGTGTTCCAAGTTTATGTATTTAAAGCTGCCATGATGTTCCAATGTTATGCCTCTAAAACTGATTGCCATGATGTACCAATTTTATGCCTCTAAAGCTGGTTGCCATGGTGTGCCAATTGTAAGCCTCTAAAACTGATTGCCATGGTGTGCCAATTTTATGCATCTAAAGCTGATTGCCATGGTGTGCCAATTGTGTGCATCTAAAGCGGATTGCCATGGTGTGCCAATTTTATGCCTTCGAAGCTGATTGCCACGGTGTGCCAATTGTATGCATCTAAAGCGGATTGCAATAGTGTGCCAATTTTATGCATCTAAAGTTGCCATAATGTTCCAATTGTATGCCTGTAAAGCTGATTGCCATGGTGTGCCAATTGTATGCATCTAAAGCGGATTGCTATAGTGTGCCAGTTGTATGCCTCTAAAGCTGTTTGCCATGGTGTGCCAATTTTATGCCTCTAAAAGTAATTACCATGGTGTTCACTTTTTAAAATATGCTTTAAAAGCAAGTGGGTCTCAAAAAATTACCGTTTTAAAAAGTGGGTCTTGGCCCATAAATGTTTGGAAAGCCCTGTTCTAAAGGGAGTGGGATATTATTATTATTATTGGTATTTATATAGCGTCAACTAATTCATGGTAGAATATCTTTTATTCTGTATACTTGATGCCAGCACATAATGCAATCTGAATATAAGCCTATTTGTAGAACTTTTTTCTCTGTTTCAGTTTTCCCACTGAATTCAAGGCTTTACCAATTAAATTTTCTCTTTATAAATAGGAATAATAATGAGCTGCTGTATGTCCATGTATAATGAATCACACATAGCTTTAGTAGGGACTCCCAGTGATGTGGTAAACGTGACGTCACGAACCCTAGGAGATCACGTGACCGAGAGAGCGAGAGCCACGCAGCACCGGACTCCTCAGCTCCCCCCACCCCTCCCCTACCCGCTGGGACACGCAAACGCTTACGGGGCTCGCGCAGGCGCTTCAACACTGCAGGCGCCGCCCCGCACCCTCGCGCATGCGCAGTCCCCACCCGCGAAGCCGTTCTGCCTCCTGTTTGTCGGCGCGAGCTGCCCTCTTTCCTACGTACTTCCGGTGTGCGGTGTCTGCTCGCTCTCTCAGTATCTCAGAGCGTCAAAGGCCCCGGGCCGGGTGAAGAGGAGGAGCTGCCGCCGGGAACCGAACGGGGAGACTCGGGAAGACGGGAGCAGGTATGGCGGAGGGGGTGTCACGGCGGGGCGGGGGGTCCCGGGCAGTGAGTGACCGGAGGGAGAGCTCCATGGTCAGTGGGAGCTGGAGGGAGGCCGGGGAGGTTCAGCAGGTCACAGGGGCGGGGTGGGGGGTCAGATCCTCTCACAGCGTCCTGGACCCCCAAACTGAGACCGACACGGGCTGCTGGGGAGCGGGGGGAAGGCCTGTGCGAGTGACACGCAGGCGGATCCATGGCCTGAGAGAGAGAGAGAGAGAGAGAGAGAGACAGTATCATAACAACTCCCTGTGTAACACACTGCTCACTATAATGTAATATAATAATATATACTGAGCCATGTCTGTCAGATACCAGGAGGGATATAATATATACTGAGCCAGGTCTGTCAGATACCAGGAGGGATATAATATATACTGAGCCAGGTCTGTCAGATCCCAGGAGGGATATAATATATACTGAGCCAGGTCTGTCAGATCCCAGGAGGGATATAATATATACTGAGCCAGGTCTGTCAGACACCAGGAGGGATATAATATATACTGAGCCTTGTCTGTCAGATTCCAGGAGGGATATAATATATACTGAGCCATGTCTGTCAGATACCAGGAGGGATATAATATATACCGAGCCAGGTCTGTCAGATACCAGGAGGGATATAATATATACCGAGCCAGGTCTGTCAGATACCAGGAGGGATATAATATATACTGAGCCATGTCTGTCAGATACCAGGAGGGATATAATATATACTGAGCCAGGTCTGTCAGATACCAGGAGGGATATAATATATACTGAGCCATGTCTGTCAGATACCAGGAGGGATATAATATATACTGAGCCATGTCTGTCAGATACCAGGAGGGATATAATATATACTGAGCCATGTCTGTCAGATCCCAGGAGGGATATAATATATACTGAGCCAGGTCTGTCAGATACCAGGAGGGATATAATATATACTGAGCCATGTCTGTCAGATCCCAGGAGGGATATAATATATACTGAGCCTTGTCTGTCAGATTCCAGGAGGGATATAATATATACTGAGCCATGTCTGTCAGATACCAGGAGGGATATAATATATACTGAGCCAGGTCTGTCAGATACCAGGAGGGATATAATATATACTGAGCCATGTCTGTCAGATACCAGGAGGGATATAATATATACTGAGCCATGTCTGTCAGATACCAGGAGGGATATAATATATACTGAGCCATGTCTGTCAGATACCAGGAGGGATATAATATATACTGAGCCATGTCTGTCAGATACCAGGAGGGATATAATATATACTGAGCCATGTCTGTCAGATCCCAGGAGGGATATAATATATACTGAGCCATGTCTGTCAGATCCCAGGAGGGATATAATATATACTGAGCCAGGTCTGTCAGATCCCAGGAGGGATATAATATATACTGAGCCAGGTCTGTCAGATACCAGGAGGGATATAATATATACTGAGCCATGTCTGTCAGATACCAGGAGGGATATAATATATACTGAGCCATGTCTGTCAGATACCAGGAGGGATATAATATATACTGAGCCAGGTCTGTCAGATACCAGGAGGGATATAATATATACTGAGCCAGGTCTGTCAGATACCAGGAGGGATATAATATATACTGAGCCAGGTCTGTCAGATACCAGGAGGGATATAATATATATACTGAGCAATGCCTGTCAGATACCAGGAGGGATATAATATATACTGAGCCGGGTCTGTCAGATACCAGGAGGGATATAATATATACTGAGCCGGGTCTATCAGATACCAGGAGGGATATAATATATACTGAGCCATGTCTGTCAGATACCAGGAGGGATATAATATATACTGAGCAATGTCTGTCAGATACCAGGAGGGATATAATATATACTGAGCCAGGTCTGTCAGATACCAGGAGGGATATAATATATATACTGAGCCATGTCTGTCAGATACCAGGAGGGATATAATATATACTGAGCCATGTCTGTCAGATACCAGGAGGGATATAATATATACTGAGCCAGGTCTGTCAGATACCAGGAGGGATATAATATATACTGAGCCAGGTCTGTCAGATACCAGGAGGGATATAATATATACTGAGCCAGGAGGGATATAATATATATACTGAGCAATGCCTGTCAGATACCAGGAGGGATATAATATATACTGAGCCGGGTCTGTCAGATACCAGGAGGGATATAATATATACTGAGCCGGGTCTATCAGATACCAGGAGGGATATAATATATACTGAGCCATGTCTGTCAGATACCAGGAGGGATATAATATATACTGAGCCATGTCTGTCAGATACCAGGAGGGATATAATATATACCGAGCCATGTCTGTCAGATACCAGGAGGGATATAATATATACCGAGCCATGTCTGTCAGATACCAGGAGGGATATAATATATACCGAGCCATGTCTGTCAGATACCAGGAGGGATATAATATATACCGAGCCATGTCTGTCAGATACCAGGAGGGATATAATATATACCGAGCCATGTCTGTCAGATACCAGGAGGGATATAATATATACCGAGCCGTGTCTGTCAGATACCAGGAGGGATATAATATATACTGAGCCGTGTCTGTCAGGTGCCAGGAGGGTGTCCGTCTATACTGAGCCCTGTCTGTCGCTCAGATACCACTGGGGTCTATATATATTTATTGAACCTCACACTCAGATATCAAGGGGGTCTCTCTCTCTCTCTCTCTCTCTCTATATATATATATATATATATATATATATATATATATATATATATATATATATATATATATATATATATTATACATACATACTGAGCATCTCACTGAGGCACCAAAGGGGGTCTATATATTCTGAGCGCTGTCTGTCACTCAGATACCAGGAGGGGCCCCTCTCCTCATATACTGAGCAATGTCTGTCACTCAGCTACCAGAGGAGGCCCATCTGTACACACTGAGCCTCTCACTCAGGTATTAAGTTGGGGCCAATCTGTACAATCTGAACAATGGCTTTCCTGTTGGATTTTAATCCATAACAATGTCTGACTATTTACTATAGTGTTAGTTTCCAAATTTTATGCCTAAATATTCCCCCTTAAATCATAAGAGGGGTTTATTCGCATGCTAATTGTAGTGAATTTGAAATATGAATTGCTAAATTAGCGGAGTTGGAAAAATTCTCCAACTCAGCTCTAGTATTCACTTGGCTCATTTGAATGACCTGCAAAATTGTTCTTGTAACATTTGAAATTCACTTTGAATTTCCTTACTATTCACCCTTTAGTAAATTACTGTTTAAATGTCTCACAATAATATTTTGAATTAACAAAATGCCTCGTATATTTTATTTTTCACTGCTTCTCACACAGGTTGATTCCTTAATCTCAATGAGAAAACAAAAATCCTACAACTCTTTTTGTAGCTTAGTTTGGGCTAAATTGTGCAATTCCCTTGTCCTTTTTTCACTATTCCCTGTTTAGTAATTAACTCCAACAGGGTCTGTATATCACACAAAGTCACTGCTGAATGTATATATGTATGTATGAAATAAGTCACTGCTTCACAGTTTCGAAGCATGTCACCATGATTTCCTTGCTGAAAGCACCTTTTTCACTTTAAGAGGTAGTAATAATAGAATCTTGAGAAACTCAATCTGCCTTAGAATGTTGGTGAAATTGCAACACAATTGAAAGTACTGAAGACAGAGTAGGAGCTGTTTCTTCTCAGGTAATGTCCTTTTATGGTTCTACATGATAAATGTGGCAATCTTTGGAGCCAACACAGCATCATGCTGCCATTTCTTATGTGTGATGGGTACACTTAGAGATTTTTTTTTCTGAATCCATTATTGTCTAAAATGTATTGGTAAGCTGATATTTAGTTGCTAGAACTCACAGCAAAAGCATATATTCTTACATATAAGAATAATATATATATATATATATATGTTTTGTTTGCTTGTCGCTTAGCTTGGTGTCTGTTCACTAGCCAACTTGCATGGTTTAGGTGAAAATAGAAAAGTTGAAGAAAAAAATTGGGTAGTTTTCAAGGTTCACAAGAACCCTTTTTCAATTAGAATTCATTAATCCTGGGGCTAGACTTTGTAGTGATGATTAATAATTGGATTATGAAATAGCTTCTCAATAGTTGGCCTTTAAGGAACACTGTAGTGGCAGGAATACAAACTTGTATTCCTGACACTGTATTGCTCGTGTGGCTGTTTAGGATACCGGCCCCACTCCAATCTGGATTAAAAGGTGATTTTACCGTTTCTCTCTTGCAGTGGGTGGCTCTGCCTCCATGGCTGAGGTCTGTCTTGACGATCTTTTACAATCCAATGTGTTCCCATAGGAAAGTGTTGGGAGGCTATTGCGCATGCACAGCTAAATGTTGTTCTGGGTCAATCAACATATCCTCATAGAGATGCATGGAATCAATGCTTGGTCAATCAGCATATCCTCATAGAGATGCATGGAATGTCTATGTGGAACATTCAGAGTCTCCATGCAGTGTGGAGATGCTGAACACCAGTGCTGCATACTGTGCAGCACTGCACTTGGAAGCACCTCTAGAGACTGAGTAACTCCACCTACAGATGTTGGTAGGCACAAGTGTAAATACTGTCTTTGAAAACAGCATACAGAGACAGGCTATAGACATTACGCTGTGTAGTTCTGGTGAATTAGGTGTCCCTTTAAGTTATCTTCATCAATGGCGGTTTTATGCTAGTGCATGTGTATCTCTTAAAATACTACCCCCATACCCATTTCTGCAAAGGATCAACTGTCTTAACATATAGTACGGTAATGGAGTAACTAATATGTCACTGTGGATGAATTTACCACAATCACTTCAGTGTGTGTCTGTGTCCAGGTTGAAATCTGAGATCTCGGCCCAGAAGAGTGCAGTTCTAGGAACAGCTAAGTGCAAAAAACACTCAGATTCCCATGAGGAACATACAAAATAAAAAGTTTTATATATATATATATATATATCTCTATATATCTCTATATCTATCCAATATGCTTGCACTCCTGGTAAGGTTTGTCGTCTGTGCCTGGTGCTGGTCTGACAAAATATATAAATCCCAAAAATTTACCGCCCTTAAAGGACTTGAATAAATAATACTTAACTTTTATTAATTCATCATAAAAAGAGTTGACATTTCAGTCCCACCAAGGGGACTTTCATCAGGACAAGTAATCAGTCAAACTGCTTAACAACCTCCCTCCAAACAGTATATACCCATAAGTGAATAGGTTATCACGCTTACTCTTCGCAGATGTTCCGAGTCAGCAGCTGCCCAAGAGCGTGCACTGGGCCCACAGCCTAAGGGGGTGGAACACATGTTGTCAAGGATACGCATTGACTGCAAGTACCATGGGTGCAAGTAAGATCGCGGTACTACTTCACACCTCGCGCATGTCTCAACATGCTGAGGACTGCTAAGCATCTGGGGGCAAATCAACTGATGAACCGGAAAATACATTAAATAATACACATAAGCACAGACAAATGACACAAATTTAGGACAATAAATCATACAAATGGTTATATGAATCTCATTACGGATGGCAATAAAAACAAAATGATCCTCTTGGGTCTGGACTTAAATTGTCCTTGTGAGAACCCAGGGATTCAAAAAGGAAAATATATATAGTTATGTACAAATAAACACATACAAAGGCTGGAACACTTAAGCAGACATAAGTATAAACTTTTAAATACTGTCTCCTCTTTTGTGGTCATAATAGCAATAATAATAATAATGGTGCCCAGTAGTCAGTCTCTTACATATGTGTATGTGAGAGAGAGTAAGTGGGCAGAAAATTTTATACTAAAGAGCTCAAATGGAGAGACATGCCTTGTCATGGCCTTATGCCCGAAGCGTTAAAGGACCACTATAGTGCCAGGAAAACATACTCGTTTTCCTGGCACTATAGTGCCCTGAGGGTGTCCCCACCCTCAGGGTCCCCCTCCCGCCCGGCTCTAGAAGGGGGAAAGGGGGTAAAAACTTACCTTTTTCCAGCGCTGGGCGGAGAGCTCTCCTCCTCCGTTCCTCCCCGTCGGCTGAATGCGCACGCGCGGCAAGAGCTACGCACGCATTCAGCCGGTCGCATAGGAAAGTATTCACAATGCTTTCCTATGGACGCTGGCGTACTCTCACTGTGAAAATCAAAGTGAGAAGCACGCAAGCGCCTCTAGCGGCTGTCAATGAGACAGCCACTAGAGGATTTGGGGGAAGGCTTAACCCATTCATAAACATAGCAGTTTCTCTGAAACTGCTATGTTTATAAAAGAATGGGTTAATCCTAGCTGGACCTGGCACCCAGACCACTTCATTAAGCTGAAGTGGTCTGGGTGCCTAGAGTGGTCCTTTAATGTTAGCCTTTATCATTCGTCCATACGCATTCAATAAGTCTAAGTACCGTGGTACCCTAAGGCAACAATTGTATCAACTTATTAGAATAAAATAATGTCTCTCTATAAGTGTCATCATAGTATATGTACAACCAACTTGCAACTATGATAATCTTTGTAACAGGGAGACCTGGGATAATAATGGCTAAAGGGTTCAAATGAAGGAACCTAAGAGTAGTCAAAATGCTTATTTTAAAGCTATCGTGTTGATGATAAAAAATATAAAGTCGTGTTGGTTTGCATACAGTGTCTAGGGAAATCATGATTGTGTGTGTGTGTGTCTCTCTGTCTGGTTAAACATAATGTATAAGGTGGTAGAGTATAGTTAGAGAGTGTCCATATAGTGGTGCTTTTACTCTTCAACTGTACAATTCAGGCCACAGACCGTCTGGCTGATGGTGCTATAGGCTGGAAGTGGGGTTATAAGGCTAAGGGCACTGTCAAAGGTACGACTCAAAAAAAACTCATGTTGGTGTTATATCTTGCTACGGTCTCTCGTGTGTGTATATATATATGTGTGTGTGTGTGTATATATTCATGTTAGCCAGTATTTAGCTTAAAATATTTTGTTAATCGCTCTAGTATTTTTTATACTCTCTGCTAGAATTGTTACATAATCCTTTATGTATTGTTGAGGCATAAACTAGTCTAGTATAATTTATATGCCTCTTCATGTAGACACCATACGTGTCTAAAATTATATGAATACACTGGTTGTTGCAACAGCGTGAAAACATTTTTGAAATCATCAATGGCTTATCCACCTGTCATCCCATAATGCAACACAAATCTTGTTTACAAGTATGTAGAAATAACTGTGCACGTCTATTCAGCCTAACTAGTAAACTGATATTTTTGTTTACATGTATGTAGAAAGGACTATAAGCTACTAGTCAGTTTCTCAAAGACTGTACAAGCAAGATGTTTTCTTGCTTGACTCACTAGTATTTATTAACCCCTTCATGACCGATGTTTTTCTGAGATGCGATGCATTGGTGACTGAGGACTTTTTGATCCTTTTCCTATGTGTTCATTCCTCCATAGCGTGTGTCACTCTCTGTATAAGTGCACCTAACACACACACACACACACACACACACAAAAAAAAATATATATATGACAGATATGACTATATAGCTAACAGACAGATGGGGCTTTCTTCTGATATCCTATGTATATTTATGACACAACATAAAGCGTGAATACATTTTCTTATTAAAATACACTTTCTTATTTTTATTTTGCTTATGATCATTACTACACAAATGCAATAAAAGGAAACAATAACTCTACATAGATTTAGACTTTTATTCCTGATTATTTAAATGCCTAATATGTGGAGGATTTATATTCATTTTTGAAAGTTGTAGGACAAATATTGCAAAGAACGAATTGTACTTCTAAAGCAAAAATACCCCAAATTGTCCGCACTCAAAGGACTTGAATAAATAGTACTTAAAAGGACACTCCAGGCACCCAGACCACTTCTGCCCATTGGAGTGGTCTGGGTGCCAACTCCCACTACCCTTAACCCTGCAAGTGTAATTATTGCAGTTTTTTATAAACTGCAATAATTACCTTACAGGGTTAACTCCACCTCTAGAGCTTGCGCATTAGGTCTCCCCGGCCGGTGGGCGGGATCAGTCTCGCCCGCTGGCCGACGTAATGACTGGGAGGAGCGACGGCGAGAAGAAACCACCGCCGAGGGACATCGGCGGGGTCTCAGGTAAGTGACTGAAGGGGTTTTCACCCCTTCAGCTACCGGCAGAGGAGACCTGCAGTGCCAGGAAAACGGATAGTTTTTCTGGCACTGGAGTTTCCGTTTAACTTTTATTAATTTATCATAAAAAGAGTTGACGTTTCAGTCCCACTAAGGGTACTTTCATCAGGACAAATAAACAGTTTAACAGCATGTAAGGGAGATTTCCCTCTCATGCTGCAGATCTTTATGGAGTCACTGTCGATCACACAGTGCCCTTCACTTTCAGCAGCGAGGTATGAAAGTAGACCCAATTAGACCCTATGACAATTTCCAACTCTCCTATTTTGGTTTAAAAATTTTCAGTTTAATTTCCCATTAATTAGCAGTTTAATAAATAATCCTGCAATATTAAAAACTGGTGCCTAGGGAAACCACTTCGAAAACTGTTTAACACCATAAGGTAAGAGGGCAAACCAGAGACTCAAGGCATCAAACCTAATATACAACTACAGTATAAAGTACACATTTCTGCATCCTAATAAAGACATCAAGTAAACACAACGTTGAGCATGTACATCTTCACAAACCTGCCACATAGCTTCTGGTGACTCTCAGCCTTGCCTTTTCACCTGTTTTTATTACCTTTCCACTGAATTGTTTAGTAATGGACAAACACTAAAAATAATCCCTGTGTGCCATGTTGCTGCAAATGAACCATGGATGCTTGATTAGTGGGCAAACATAAAACAAATTTTTCTTTTCTCAATGCACAAACACCGTAAAACTTCTAGGTACCACTTGTATCTGGTCCAAATTGTTATGACACTGGGCGGTTGAGTCTTGGATTAATTGGACCAGTGCATCTGTTTGATGTATCCACACGTGCACCCTCCGATTCTGACTAATTTCTCACATTTCCTCATCTCTGGATGTACATTGGTTAACCAATATTGTGGCTTACCTTATCTCTTGTCCTTTGTTTGGCTCTGGTTTTTTTCTGTTTTCATGCTCTGTGTTCCTCATCTCTAGGTCTATTAATTTAACTGTCTATCTTATATTATTACTAGTTTGGGCCTTTCTGATTTTGTATTGTTCTGTAAAGTAACAATTTTTTTCCTTGTATATTAAGCTTCTGAGGTTACTATGTAAGTGTCATGTTGCCAGTCCTCCATCTGGATTTCCTATTTATACTGCAAATCATGAAGAATAATGCTTTATACAAACGGGACGTGGTCCTTTTGAATTTGTCAAAAGAATCTCCCCTGACCACCTCCGGTATGCTGCGAGGAAACAGGCTCTCCTGCCATGCTTCAGTGGCAGAGGCAACTTCAAGGATCCCCTGCATTGCATCCTGATTCGCAGCACTGAGAGTTACTGATTTGACATCACATGTTAATGATGCATTATATCGGCATGCATTGCAGAATAACTAGAGGGACTCTGAAATTCTCTCATGCAAGGGTAGATCAATTTACCACTAAACATCAGAGACATAATTGGTGCAACTCTTAATCTCTATTCCACAACTCCCTCCTAAATGCCTACAGAGGTAAATATTGGGAGGAGAGGAAGCTACACGTATGCATACACATATGTGTGTGGTTAATTAGGTTTGCAAATGCTTGTGAGTATAGTTAATTAGATATATGTGATTAAAGGGGTACTCCAACCACCATGACCTCTTAGTGACTTGAAGTGATCACGGTGGTAGGAGTCAGTATGTGCAGAGTGTCACGCTATTATGAGTTATTGCTAATTGTGTGCCCCCAGCACACAATTAGCAAAATGTTCCCTTTGCAGACAGAGCTTCTGCAAGGGGAAGCTAGCTCCTCCCTTTTGGGTGTACCCTCGCACCTCCCCTGTCACTCATTTGTTTTTGTTTTGTAAAACCCTCACTCCTTCCATCCCCTCATATGTGCTCTGAGCTGGTGAAATGGTCCAATCGCAAGCTTCTGTGTAAAGACTGTTTATTTGTGTTGTGGGATCTTCACCTGGTGCTGTATAATGCATTTTACACTGGACAGTTCCCTCCTCTCAAAAGGGTTATAGTAACAATTAATATTTTGTCTGTGCCCTGGGTTAGGACATTGACTCCTAGATTCAAGGCAAATTCGTCAAACCATGGACTAAATATTGTAGCATAAGGAATAGTGCAGTTACCAATGCTCGAATGCTCTTAGAGGAGTGTGCAGGATGGAAATAGCGTGTGACCAGGATTGAAAGAGCAAGTGATTGAGCCTTGTAAGAATGCTTTGTGTATTCATTACTGAACATGCAAACAACTTTTCATAGTACTAATGTAACAGGATACTAAATCCTGCACCACATCAGATTTCTCAAGGATTTGTTTTTAGCTTCTCTGGTTCCTTTCTATCTGTGGGACTTTTACGTCTTCAACTAGAAGGATAAGGTTTGTATATATGGAGACAAGGCGTTGCAACCCTCTGTGTGTGTGTGTGTGTGTAATTGCATGTGATATACATGTTCAAGCTAGCCCAATATCAGCTGTGTTTGCATGTGTATATAAAAATAATCTGTGCATAGATTAAAAAATTGTTTCCAAGATAAAGAGTTCCTGTTTTGAATTTTTTTTTAAATTCTTTATTTTGGCAGGTGATGTATGACATTAACAGCAGTTTCATTGTATAACAGTTGATAAGCATAGTTAAGATTTGCAAACAAGGGTGTCTAGTGTGTTCAGCTAATTTTTTAATTTATAACTATCGTAGAGTAGTGATGCCCAGAAGCCTGGGGGTGGGTAGTGGAAGCATCCGCCTTCTCCGTTGTTTAGGCTAAAACATGAGTCTATGTGTCTGTGGCGTTACTGTATCTCCCGGTTGTTGTGTGGGCCTCTAACCCGTATGGGGGGGGATGGGGGTTGTGAGCTTATTACATACAATGACATTAGGAACATAGCTGTTTTTTGGGGGGTGTTTATGTTGCTATAGCAGCACTTAGTTGTAAGATATTGTATGCATGAAAGTACAGGATTAAACGAAAATTAAAACAGTTGGTGCCATTCTGGACCATAAGAATTAAGTCAGAGTCCTGTTCTTTCCCTGGCACAAAGGGAGTGATTGCCATGATGTCCCATTGATGGTTGGAGCTCGTCGATGGGGTTGCTTCAGCAGAGACTGAAGGAAGGACGAGCCTTCCGTGGGGCTTGTTGCTCGCAGGGTCTTCCCCTCTTGAAGTACCGTGAGGGCTCTTGGGTAAGTCCAGCGGTAAGCTAGTCTCGCAGCTTGCAGAGCTTCGGTAATGGGTTTCATCGATTTTCCTCCACAGTAAGGTGGGCCTGCTGAGGTCTTGAAAAAAGGTAATGTTGTGTATTTCAAAGTGCAGCGGGGTTTTCCCTTTGAGTGCCGTGAGGAGCCTTTGTTTATCTGCGACGGTTTGACAGCACAGGATTAAGTCTCTGGGAGCCGCGGTGGGCGCTTGTGAGGCGCTTTAGGGGTCGGGTGGTTGTTTGCCGTAGGCAGGTTACCTCCTGTGTCCAGAAAGCCTCAGTGTGCCACACTCAGGTCCCGCGGGATTCCCACGCTGTAGGCCCGGCTTCCCCGCCATCTGTTTTTGCCACTCGTGGGGAAAATGAATGGCATCTGCCTGCTCGGGACTGCTTCCCCTTTATGATCGTGGCGGTTGTGTCGTGGCAGAACTCTCTGTTCTGGCATGTGGAAAGATAAGGTCAACTGTTCGTGAAATCTACATTTTACACTGTGGCCAAACCCCAACCTCTCATTTTGGTAAGGAAAGTGAATGTGCATCCAAATTCTCACTAGTCCTCATTAAAGAAAATAGGACGCAGCCTTTTTTATTGTATTCTTTCTGGTAAAACTCTTAAATACGTATATAGATGGTGTACACCTGCGCATTGAGATTTTCTTACTCACCTCCTGCAGACAAAGGTAACTTGTACCAAAATTAACATTTACAAATCAAAAGGCAGTGTATTGAGCAAGAGAATGAGAATGGATATCGAGCGGAAAGGTTAAGCTTCTTTTGAGGTACATGTATAATGAAAGGTATACAGCTCATCAGACACTGCTGTGTAAGTTTGTTGAAGCACCACATTAGCTATTTGATTTCACATTGGTTTGTATGAAGTTTACCTTTAGACATTTTTGGGTGGCAGCACAGCTCTGTTGACTTATCACTGAAAATGATGGATTTCTTTATGCGTCCTATGTCCTGTTATCCTACCATATGTTCTCTTGTTTCTCTCCCCTTTCATTGTTTGGGGTCTTTGTCGTCTGCTCTTGCTCGATCTCTCTTTAAAATCTGCAATCTCTCGGTATCTTTCCCACCTTATTTAAACATGCTTCAGTCAGTACAATTTTTAAAATAAGTCTAAGGCTGATGTAAATTCACCATCGATCTACTGTCTCATGAAGTCTGACTAATTCCTACTTCGTGCTTGACCCTCTTTTTTGGGGGGCTTCTGGTCTTTATATTCCAGCAAAACCGCTCTAACCAAAGTGATTATTGCCAAATCCAAAGGACACTCTCTGTTGAAGATTTATAAGCTGATTTCAAAACTAGACCACCTGCTTCTTCACAGGTTCCTTAATCTTGATCTACATGACATTTCATGCATCTCTTATGTTTCCTAGTGCTCTTTTTAGTGTCTCCCTTTCTGGCACATCCTCCCCCTTCTGTTCTTTCGTTACCCGGCCTCTCTGCATGATCTGATAATATGAATTTGAGTACCACATCTGTACTGATGACACAGTTCTCCCTCCCTGACCCCTCACTTACACTCTGTTATGTCACCAGGTCCATCTGACTGGATGACTGCACACTTGCAGTCCCTTGGTCCCTGAAAAGCTGAATTTCCATCTCCTTCATCAGTGTCCACTTTGTTCTATCTTACAGTGCACTCTCTTTGAGTCTAAGTTTTTCACTCCCCATATCTAGTTAATTTCCGAAGCCTTATAATATTCACTGGTTAAGATCCATGTGTTTTTTTTGTTTTGTTTTTTTTTCATGTGTTTTAATATGGACTTGTTATGGAATTTTCAGTTTGTATAAAACATTCCCATACAAACTTGTTTAAAAATATAAATTCTTTAGAAAGACATATTAAGTAATTAAATTCTCTCCCTTGCCACATCTTTATTTTCCCTTTTCTAAGTCCTGCTTCTCATGCACTTAAGGCAAGACATTTGCTGTTTTATAACTTTAATACTTTCAATTGAATTCTATTTGAATAGCATGTACTTTACCATTGTCTTTTGTGCAATCGAACCCACTTCCTTTAGATTGCATTTAAGCAAGGCCCTCACTCCTCTTGCACATGGAGGTCAGACTTGTTTTGTCAAATTCACCTGTTTGATCTTTTTTTCCTCCCACTGTACAGCACCACAAGATATATTGGTGCTTTAGACCTGCTTTACCCACATTACAATTAGTACTAAGTGGCTTCCTGTTCGAGGGATCCTATCTATGTTTTTACTATTGGATAGGTCAGTCCTGCAGCTGGTTATCATGGCAACCGTTTGGTGGACATTCACGGTCATAGGCTGGTAGGGTTAAATATGCCCTCACTCCTCCCACAGGCATGGGATTTCCACATTTTATCATGTTTGGGGTTTTATATAAATGGACTAGATGTTTGTATCTTGAATCTCTTGATAAGTTCTATTTGAAGAAAAGTTGTGATTTACTGCAACTCTGTCACCTAATTAAGGTATCTATACTTTTGACCAATATCATTTGTCGTCTTCTTTGCACATTGGATACATTTGCTCAGTTTGTATGTTATCTTTATTTTGTTTTGTTTTGTTATTTTGTCATTGTATGTTATCACACTGATACAATATTTGGGTAAGAAGTATTATCCCACTATGTTATGATATTTGAATTGATATTTAGTTCATTTGACTATTTACTGAAATGCTGTAGCATTATATAATTTATGGTGCTTTAAACCCTCCCGAAGCAGTAGAAAGGGATTTTGGATTTGCCTTTCATTTTGCCACTTTCCTATAGAGGTTAAATTGGACAAAGTTATGTCTAAAACCAGATTTTCATGTTTGTATCTTACTGGCAGTACTGTTCCAAACCTATTGTGTAACTTGTTAATATTCACGTGCTGATGGATAGGAATAAAGTCTTTTCTTTGTAGTTTTTGTTTGTACCATTTTTGCCGAGTGATTGTAATCTCCATACATTTCAGCTTTGTATTGCTTGGTGCATTAAGTATGTCATGGGCTCTGATTGCAATTTTGTTTTCTTATATGTTGCACAAGCCTTTATCATATTTCCATGTTTGACGTTTACACTTTTCTGGGGTTGGGGTGAGCGTGCAAAAGGTTTTTATATACTGTTTTTCCATGTAATGACATGACTACGACATAAATATTAACATCAATAGTACCAATTGCACAATTAAAAAAATAAATAAATAAAAATCTATAGAAACAACCTAATGCAAACTTTTAATACTTAAAGGGATAAAATAAGTGTTTATAATAAAACACAGTTGAAATTACACAACATAATCTGTGTGATTTATCATGTTGAAATGGGGCATATACAGATTCCAAGCACAATGATGACATCAAATCAGGAAAGTGGTCTTGGTGTAAAGGAAAGCATTGAAACGTACAAAGGCATCTGTGGAACACTTTGAGCTCTGATCTTTAGTTTCTGGCAATGCCCAAGGCTTTAGTGAGGAAGTCTCAGAGAAGAGGAGGACTTTCACTAGGAATTGAGTGAAATGGGAGAAGAACTATTTTTTAGATAGGATATTTACCAAATCTATCCATTTGCTAGCAAATCTGCTAGCACAATGTATAGATGGAATGTCAAGCTCTTTTGGAAGCTATATTAGTTTTAGTCTTGACAGGATCCGTTAATCTCCATATGTGAAACACTGCACATCCAGACTCCAGTGACCATGACCACTTCAAACCATCAAAGTGGTCATGGTGCTTAGAATGTTCCTTTAACTCATTGTCTTCTGATAATGCAGAATACACAAGTGCAAAATCTAGTTTGTTCTGGTAAAGGTTGAGATGTATATGGTAACTAAATAGAGTTGAAATTAAAACTTATCACTTGTATTGTATGTTGATTATTTCTTAACATTTTGCTTATGTGTTATTTTACAGGACAGATTCAGAAATGTCTTTCATATTTGAATGGATTTATAACGGCTTCAGCAGCGTGCTGCAGTTTTTAGGTAAAACATTTTTTGTGTATACGTTTTGTTATATAGATGTTCAGTTTCTTTGGTTCACACCACTGGTTTTCTTTTGTAATGTATTTTAATTTATAAAATCTGCTTTGCAGGATTATACAAAAAGTCAGGAAAACTAGTGTTTTTAGGCTTGGATAATGCAGGAAAAACCACACTTCTACACATGCTTAAGGATGATCGGCTCGGGCAACATGTTCCCACACTACATCCAAGTATGTATGACCAAGATTTTAATACTTGTATGACCATGTGGAAATTATGAGCTGTACTGATAACCTTTAAATTTTATCTTTCTATATCAATTTGTTTTGTGGTATATATGTTTTTATTCATATCATAACCTGAACTGAAATTTTAATATGTTTACTTTTCCCTGTAGTTAAAGGAACACTATAGCGTTAGGAATACAAATATGTATTCCAAACGCTATAGAGTCCTAGTCAGCATTTAAGTGACTTGGACCCCGTTCTGCTGTGAATAAATTGTTAATTAACCATTTATTTGCTTACCTTAATCCAGCGCCAGGCTCCCTCGGCATTGGTGACCTCTCCTCCTCCATCAAAGTCAGCTTCTGAGTGGAGCCGAATGCATTCAAACCCGCCCATAGGAAAGCATTACTCAATGCTTTCCTATAGGGATCTTTTTTGACACTGGACTCCGTGAGGAGTCAAATAAGTGCGATTTACTCCGTGTAAATCGCGGAAGCGGCCTCTAGTGACTGTCAGGGAGACGGCCATTAGAGGCTGGGTTAATCCTGCAATGTAAACATAGCTGTTTCTCTGAAACTGCTATGTTTTCAGCTGCAGGGTTGAAACTAGGGGGACCTGGCACCCAGACCACTTCATTGAGCTGAAGTAAAAATCAGACTGTTTCAAATGGCCATGGAACAGCTGATGGAGCTCTGAATCTGTTGGCGCTATATAAATGGCAATAATAATAAGTATTCTTGGTGCCTATAGTGGTCCTTTAAAAAATATTATTTTTTTGGTGAGGTGTGAAAAAAGTTAAATGTAGAAATCCACACCTCTTTATCCTGGATCTAGGTGCCCCTGCCTAAGTTCCATGTAAGTCATAGTTGCAAACTCTCTCCTGGCAGTCAGAAGAACATACAGAGAAGAGAAAAATGTAAACACAGTTTCTATTTCTCCTCTTTATTTGCAATCTTTTCACTTTCTTTGCCTTCTCTGAGCTGGATAAAATGTAATTTTCTAAATCTTTAAAGGGACACTATAGGCACCAAAACTAATTAATCTTGTTAAAGTGCTCTGGGTGCAATGTAAAATATTGCAGTTTTAGAGAAACAGCTATGTTTATGTTGAAGTGTTAAGACTGCCTTTACTGGCTGTTTTCCAGACAGGCTCTAGCGGTGCTTCCTGCTGTTTCACAGAGTTTAACTTCATGATACGACACTGGACACAAATGTGTTTTGCATGAGGACGTCCAGCGTCTTCAAAATCCCCATAAAAAAAAATTGTCAGTGCTTCCTATAGGGAAGGCCTAAAGCACGTGCGGCACTCACTGCGCATTAAGTTTCTCCTCACCATTGTGTTGGAGGAGATTGAGCCAGTGCCGAGAGCACTGTGCTGGAATAAGGTAAGTGATGTGATCTAAAAGATCTAGGAATCATGAAAATTTATGTAACCATAGAAACAAGTCCCCATCACCACCAGGGGATTCTTTCCCCTATTAGTCTATCTAGTGTATGCGGCAAAACCACTACCATTTTGTTTCAGTATTGCTATTTTTTTTTTTTGAAAATGCTGAGCAATTCTGTTGAGACAGGAAGCTCCCAGCAATGTCTATTGACTGTACTTTGACAAAGGAGAAGTGTTGTGAGTTGTGTTACTTTAGGTCAATGCCTGATTTCACTTTTTCTCTTTGAAAAACTCTTTATAAGCAGCAAAGTGGCTGTTGGGTTGCAGGGAATGTTACCACTTGACATAACACCCTTTTACTTCATATGATTACTTTATTTTGGACTTGTTGATTATCAGTACCATTAGAAAGTTTGTCCATGACAAAATATTTAAATATTTGTGCGCAAAATGGCTGAAAGAATTAAAAATATATATTTTTGAAGAAACCTGTGCAATGTAATTTTTTTCTTTTCTGTGCAGCATCAGAGGAGCTGACAATTGCTGGAATGACTTTCACAACCTTTGACCTTGGTGGACATGAGCAAGGTGGAGAAATCATATCATACCTTTTCTTACTGCTAATACAGTTAGATTATATCAGAATTGAAAATATATATTTTCTTGCTTATTTTTGTTTTCTCTTTAATGTAGCCCGTCGTGTTTGGAAGAACTACTTACCGGCGATTAATGGAATTGTGTTTCTTGTGGACTGCGTAGACCATAGCCGCCTTATGGAGTCCAAAGTTGAGCTGAATGTAAGAAACATTTTATTGATATTGAAAATGCTAGTCAAAATGGTTTCATATAGCTTCACTTTCATGAGTCTTAATGCAAGAACAGTTAGTTTTCATCTGTCAACTAAGCTATTTTAAATCACCCTGTACTCTTTGGTGATCATTTTACATATATTATGTGTTACTGGAAAATAAGTGCAGATTAAAAGACAGAGCATGAAATAAATATAAAAAAAACCTAATAGATAAGGTTTTACCAATGCAGGTATGGTAACACTTGTATGTTTCACCATGTAAGACTTCACTACCATTTGTTGGTATAATTTTGAGCAGAATACTTGGCAAGGCTAATTGTAAATATGTATAGCTAGTTAAACTGATACTCTGAGCACAAAACAACCTTAGCTTATTGAAGCCGTTTTGGTGTATAGATCGTACTTCTTCAGTCCCACTGCCCATCTCTGTGACATTTAGGAGTTCTACCACGTTTGATGCAGCCCTAACCACAACCTCTCCTGGTTGTGAGTCACTCAGCCAACATGCAATTTTTTTTATTTTTGATCATATCTGCCATAACCTTTTTTGAAGTGCTTATCTCCTGCTTTGTTTATTAAATGTATTCACTCACAGGCAGTGGTGTATCTTGGATTGGTGCTACCCTAGGCACGACTAAATTCAAGCACCTAATCTAAATTTGCACCACCATTTCGTGTCAAGGCCACTTTTTAGACTGACAGACGCTCGTCCTCATTGACACATGCACTGACACACACTCTGACGCGGCTACACACACACACACACACACTGACGGCTACACACACACACACACACACACACTCTGACGGCTACACACACACACACACTGACGGCTACACACACACACACACACACTGACCGCTACACACACACAGTTGCTGGACTGGGGCTGCTGGCTGGGCGGACAGACTCCTGGGGCTGCTGCCTTCTGCGAGCTCGGCTGGCTGGCTGGGTGGGTGGGCGGGCAGGCGCTCAATAGAGGCGGCGAGGGAACTGAGCTCTTCCTGCTCTACTGCCTCGCGCACCGCCGGGGCCGGAGTGACATCATATTCCGGCTCCGGGCATCATAGAAGGGCACGCAAGGGACCAGGACGAGCTGAGAGGACTGCGCTCCCTCGCTGCCCGCCTACACTATGAGCCAGCCGGCCACCTCTTGTTCTCTCCCAGGACGTGGGGCAAACTTTCCTGGGCACTTAGGGTGTCGTTTTTTGCCAACTCCCTGAAAGTGCTGCCCTAGACAAATGCTTTGTTTGTCTCGTGGCAAATACAGCCCTGCTGACAGGTGGCTACTGCAGGCACCAGTAGGCTACCAACAGATTGAAAGATAAGAAATTATAACTTAAACAGTGTGCAATAAAGGAAGTTTAAACATTCGATCTCTTTTTACAGGAGAGGGTCACATGCAGGGCTGTGTAAACTAAGTGATTTAACTCCTAAATGACAGATAATTGAACAGTTAGGCTTCAGGAAATTATCTATACACAAAAAACACTACATTAAGCTAACAATGTTTGGTGCTTATAGTGTCCATTTTATTTGATGTAAAGTGTATATAGTCAATTAAATTGAAAGCAAAATATTACAGTGAAAACCTAATGTCACAAAAAATATCTTGATATAAGTGTATACCTTACATTCTAATAGTTTTGAGTTGATCCAGCAGGGTAAGTGACTGTGATTACTACTATGTATTTAAAGGAACACTATAGTCACCTAAATTACTTTAGCTGAATAAAGCAGTTTTAGTGTATAGATCATTCCCCTGCAATTTCACTACTAAATTCACTGTCATTTAGGAGTTAAATCACTTTGTTTCTGTTTATGCAGCCTTTGCCACAGCGCCCCTGGGTATGATTGACAGAGCCTGCATGAAAAAAAAAAACTGGTTTCACTTTCAAACAGATGTAATTTACCTTAAATAATTGTATCTCAATCTCTAAATTGAACTGTAATCACATACAGGAGGCTCTTGCAGGGTCTAGCAAGCTATTAACATAGCAGGGAATAAGAAAATCTTAATTAAACAGAACTTGCAATAAAGAAAGCCTAAATAGGGCTCTCTTTACAGGAAGTGTTTATGGAAGGTTGTGCAAGTCACATGCAGGGAGGTGTGACTAGGGTTCATAAACAAAGAGATTTAACTCCTAAATGGAAGAGGATTGAGCAGTGAGGCTGCAGGGGCATGTTCTATACACCAAAACTGCTTCATTAAGCTAAAGTTGTTCAGGTGACTATAGTGTCCCTTTAAATAATGAGGATGGCACATTTTCCTCCGTGTGGTAAATAAAATGTATTTCCGTACATGAACACGTGATCTTGAAACAAATCAAGACGATGTTACATGTAAACCATGTGGTTGTGTCCAGATTGATTCATAGTAATGCAGAAATGGTAATGTTCTTTCTTTCTTTTTTGCAGTCACTTATGACAGATGAAACGATATCCAATGTGCCAATCCTTATCTTGGGAAATAAAATTGACAGACCTGAAGCAATCAGTGAAGAGAAATTGAGAGAAATATTTGGGCTTTATGGGCAGACCACAGGAAAGGTAAGTTAAAATTCTTTACGTTTTTTATTGTTGATATAGCTTAGTAGTTGGTCGCTATCTGAGTCACAGGTTCTTATCTCAGCACGGTCGACGCAGCCTTTTAATCATCAAAGTTTGAAAAAAAATGAGTACCGTTTATAAAATGCATGCAACCTTTAGCTACTTGGAAACTAGTGATTAGTTACTCACTAAAGTGGGAATTATCAGGAATTCAAAGTGATTTTCAAATTTTAGATGAAAAAAATCTGTTGGAAGCACAGCTGACTTGGAGAGTTTTTCAATTTCGCTATTTTGGCATTAAACTAGAAATTCACTGTGATTTCCAACAATTCTCACTTTAGAAAATAACTGTATATTTACTTATTCAGTTAACTCCTTCTGATTCTATTCATTATTCGTTTTCACATCGTTCGTGCTCTACCAGCAAAAAATCGCTTGGTATAAGACTAACTAGACATCATCCATATGAATTTGTCATTGTTTATTTGTTTGAACTCGATTCTAGGAATAGGGCCATTACACAAGGTACAGGTTGTGTAAACCTGCCATGAACTTATTTACAGACATTATTTTAAATCTAGAAGATCTATGGCTTGTAGATTATTACAGGAAGAAACCTCCAAAATTTTAGACACACACATATATGTGTATGTGTCTATCTTTATATTAATCAAGTTTAGCATGAGAGAAAAGGAAAAAAGTGTTTTTAATTTTGTTTGGTTGTTCCTAGTTTTTAAACTTGTAATAGAATATATGCAAAGAACCACCCCAGGAAAAGGTAGTTTAGTATTTAAAATATTGGTTCTCCCCTTCATTTTTGAAACCACCATATGAAACTTTCTCTGATTAATTTATTGAGGTTCTTTTGATAACAGCTATGTCTGACATTTTTTTTTTCTTCAACGATCACACTGCTGTCATTGATATATTTTATAGGTGAGCAGGATTCAGTTGCATCAAATCTCTGTTAAATGCTTGGACACCACTAAATGTAGACCCCTCCATGTGCTGAAAGTTTTAAAAAATTTTTTAAATTGAATAATGAGACCACCCCATACACTATGCTAAGCTTTAATATGTGATGCTTGTACATATGTTATTTAATTGTAAAAAGTATTCATATTTTTCTGAAACATTTGGCGGTTTCTGAGCTTTTCACATTCTAAATACTAAGCAAGTGTAATGATGTAAACTAAAACTTCACTGCTGCGGAAAAATGTATAATAACTAAACTGAGTTTCACAGATCAGAGCACACTTGCACATTATGCTTTGAGCGTTCCCCTCAAAAGATTTATGAAATGCATAATCTTTTCAACGCATTTTTCATTACTTCGTTTTGTTCTTCCTAGGGTAACGTGCCACTGAAGGATCTTAATGCTCGCCCAATGGAAGTGTTTATGTGCAGCGTGCTTAAGAGGCAGGGCTACGGTGAAGGATTCCGCTGGCTCTCACAGTACATTGACTGAAACTTTATTTTTCTCTCCTATCCCCCTCATTGAACGACAAGAAAACAACCATATTATACAGAGTTCAACTCTTCGGACTTGATCCAGACTGACTTCTCTATCAGTGTGTGGCAGACTCACATAGGCAGTGATTAACAAAGTACAACAACCAGGAGTCTTGTGGGGCACGTCCCTCTGATCAAGAGTTAATTGATTTCAAAAAGAAACCAATTCTATTTTTTAAAGAACGTATCAATGTTAACTGTATCCAACTCCCTTTTATTTTTTTGTTTTTGTTTTATCCCTCATTTATTTGTACTAGGTTCTTTTTTTTTTTTTTTTTTTTTTGACTATTTAATGGTATTTACATATATCACAACGTACTGAATCAATTACCATGGCATTAAAAGTCTGCAATAAACCTAGTTTTGTCCTGGCCTGCTCTCCAACAGTACTTCTAGTTTTGCTGGTGGTATATCAGGGGAGAATATGTTTGTGCTTGTATCTATTTTTCATTTTCTCTAAGTGGAATGAAAAGTACTCAAGCTGGAATACAGTTTATTGCCAATTTTTATCTTACACCTAAACATGCTGTTGTAGGTTGCTTTTTATTTTTCCCCAGTAAATGTCTATGGTATATAATCGGAGGTCATTCTTAAGAGTTATGGGTGTACTCCCTCTTAGGATAAGAATGTACTAACAGTGGTGTGAAGACTAATACAATGGAAAACAGCTATAACCAGCTTATTTTGTACTGTTCCCAGTCACTGTTTTAGTTGCTTTTTAAAACCACTGGATTACCCAGTCCCACCTATATAGAATTTGCAATAAAGTAAAAACACTCAGACCTAAAACATTGTGACATGGTTCTTTGTGTTTCTTTTGCAGTGCAATAAAAGTTAAGAACTGCCTGGTCCTTTTTGCTAGCCATCGTGATTGCGAATGTATACATGAGCAGATATGTACACGTTTTGTGTTTGTTTTCCCTTTTTTTTTTTTTTTTAACCTTCTGTCTGCACTGCCAGTTATGCAGAATTTAAATGTGTCCATGCTTTGTAAACCTGGTCCATAATAATTTGCAATCCTTGCCATGTATAGTATTCTTGAAAAAAGGACAGAGGAATAGGTCAGGAACATGTGTCCTATTCATAGAGGGGACAGCACAACATAATCAGAACATTAACTGAACACTGGCTTCAGATAATTCTGAGCATGTTTCAAACCAAACAAAGTACTGATAGGTTGTTTTGTTTGAGGCCTTAAAAAGGTCTTAAATGGGCTTTCTAAGCACTGTATCACACTACAATTCCTTGTAGTGGTTATATTGCACAAAGTGTGCGTAGTGTTGTACCCCTGGTTTATGTTAACGTTTTTGAGCAGTTTAACAAAAAACAATGCCTTCTGGCACGTACATCTTGGCACCCCTGGGGAGAATTGATTAGCTGAGAGCACTGGAAAGGCCTGACAGTGGCATCTAAAGTTGGATTGGCTAGAGACGTTCACTTGTACGTAACCAAGTAGCAGACACTGGCAAAGCCTAGTTTTTGAAAGTCCATTTGAACAGTTTAACAGCTGAAGTTTATATGGTGGTATGAGTGCTGCTTTAAACTACCAATTTACTAAATGGTGAAGTAAATTGCATTGCCTACTACAAGAGACAGATTTAAAAAGCAAAAGGTAGATCCCCACAGATAACAAGGAAAAAATGAACCCAATAGAGAGGGAGAACGATAAGTGATCAGGGAAGCCCTTCCTTTATTCGTTCTAAGGGTCAAGGGACAAACGAGGTGAGTAGAATGAAATTCTACTCACAATACAAGTTTATCCATAATATTCTAAATGGCATGTAACTTAAGGCATCGGCTTAGTTTACTTTTTTTTTTAAAGTGCATGTAACAGGGTATATATAATATAATAAAGTACCTTTATTATAAACCACCTGTGTTTAAATATTAACGTTTAACAATTTCACTCAAGGTAGAAGTTGGGCACATCCATGTATAAGCAAAGTCTTGAATGCAATACCGTTTTTTGAAAGAACTGCTAATTGAGAGAACTGCTAATACAGTGCATAGTTACCAGCCTACTGACTTGATAGTTGGAGTGTTCTCTGGTTAAGTCCTTGTATATAATAAACACAGTTTTCAAGCTTATATTTTACTGGTATTCCTAGAAAAGTTGTAGAAACTGTCTGCGACAACTCATTGTGTTCTATTTCGCAGTATAAAGGCGGCAAACCTTTACACAACTTTAGTGTTTACCTTCCAATCTATTGCTGTGAGCAATTTGCTACTTAAAATGTAAGTTACATAATGATTACTTGTTTCTTGCCAGAGAGTCTTCCGCTGCAGCTACTCGCTCCACCTCATAGAAAAACATTAGATAGGAAACTCGCACGAGTGTCCAAACACCACATGCCTCCAATCTATTTGATAGCAAGATCGAGTTTACTTGGTTTTGGAAGAGAAATCACCTCTAGTGGCTTTCTGGAAGATGGCCACCTGGGGAGTATTTGAAGGACCACTATAGTGCCAGGAAAACATACTTGTTTTCCTGGCACTATAGTGCCCTGAGGGTGCCCCCATCTGCCGGGCTCTAGACGGTGGGAGGGGTTAAACTTACCTCTTTCTCCAGCGCCGGGCAGGGAATTCTCCTTTTCCTCCATATCGACGTCATCGGCTGATTGCACATGTGCAGCAGGAGCCGCGCGCGCATTCAGCCAGTCCATAGGAAAGCAATCACAGTGAGAAGCGCCTCTAGCGGCTGTCAATGAGACAGCCACTAGAGGCTGGATTAACCCATCTGAAACTGCTATGTTTATAGAAGAAAGGGTTAATCCTAGTTGGACCTGGCACCCAGACCACTTAATTAAGCTGAAGTGGTCTGGGTGCCTAAAGTGGTCCTTTAACTCCAATGCAGGGTAAAAATTATTGGACCACTGCAACTAGGTTTGTATTCCTAATCCTATAGTGTTGTTGTTGTTTTTTTTTTTTTACATTTATTTGCTCAATTATTTCTTCACTTGTATCTTTCTGATAGTGCTAGTTTAATTCTTAAATGTTTGCAATTTGCAGCAGTATAGTGTGAGCACACTGACTGCATTGCAATGTGAGTATATTCCAATTAGTACTAATGGTATTCAAAGTTTAGCTTTACCTGAATATTTTTAGTTAATTGGATGTATTACTTTAAACTATTCTACTGTGTGTGTATATAATTTTAGTTAAACCCAACTGTCCTTACTGAAGTGTGTGCAAGCAGATAAAGTAAATTTAATATTTGTTTTTGAGCAGTACAATCAGTGACTGTATTTTATTTATTTTTTTACTTCGCAATCATCAGTGAACTGAACAGTTGTTTTGAAATTGATTCTGTTAACCTGTTTAGTTTAATTTGGCTTTTCTCAGTACAGCAACTTGTAAAAGTAACTGGTTTTGTTTTTTAGTTACTTATTTAGTCTTGATTTGCTCACAAAGCTGTAAAGAAACCTACCTTAAGTAGGGCTCCTGTCAGAGTTTGGCCACAGTCTCAAGGCTCTACTCCTATATTAGAAGCATCCTCGTCAAATAGAAACCACTGCTCCAAAAAAATTACATAGCCGCGTCAATTTAATCTACTTCTGGGACTAGCTTTAGTGCTGCTACATATATACAAAAGGGCTTCAGATTGCAGAATGATGCTGCAATGTTAATTTTTAAATATTCTGCAGTGCCACTAATTTTAGGGTTGCTGCACCAGTGCCCCTAAGCTTTGGGGCCCATTGGGTGTACATCACATATAGGGAGATCAAATGGGCGTTCAGGCTGCTTCCTCCCAGTTTATAGAGTCCTGGTCGGGAGAGATTGGAGGAGGCCTGGACTAGAACCCCCCCAGCAGCCAGATCTAGACCCAAGAAAAGCATTCAAAAGTATAGAAGCATGGGGGTGGCTAAAATGTGTGTGTGGGGCAGTTTGTATATACCCATACATTCAGACGTCAACACTATATACACATACACCCCTGCATGCAAACGCCAACAATACATACAAACACCTGTTGGAGTTATCTGCTGGGAATGAGTGCAAATGGACTACAATGGGTTTTGAGTCTCAAGAGCGCATTTAAAGCAAAAAAAAAAAAAAAACACTAGTACATTTATTGCTGGTTAAAATTATGGCTGGAGCCCAACACCACCACAATAATGCTAACATGCCTCATGGGAACTTCATCAGAGGAATATAACATGCACACACATATAAAACCTGTTTTCAGCACGTTGCACAGCTTTGACATGCCATTGTTGAAAGATCAATCCCTATGCTAAAGAGGCTGCTGACACTGGCAGGAGACCAGAAATGATATTCTGTGTAAAATGGTTTCAGACCAAACGTCTGCACTGCAGCAATTCCCTCTGCTCATGAAGCATCTCAATTGCTCAGAGTGCATAAGATAAATGTGCAAGATCACTGTCTGAATCTGTGGTTTCCAGTATTCCTTTGCATTATCCAAACACATCTTTTTTTCTTCTTCAAAAGTGACCCTTCATCAGTTAATGAAGGTCTCTATGTTTACATAGAATAGGTATTTTCCTTTTGTCCACACTTCGAGAAAAGTATCATAAAGAATGACCAACTGAAACATTAACAAACATTTGAATACTTTCATAGATGATGACTGTTCCTACAGCTGAGATACATTTTGCCGAGTTGGAAAAAGTAAGACGTTACCAGTCGGACATCCAATAGTTAATGGTTGAAACCTGGCTTTTCACAGGTTTTAATGAAAGATCAGCTCAGCGTAAAGCCCTGGATTATTGTTGGGCAGGTCCCTCAGATTGTAATTAATAAAATGACCAGTGATCCAATTAAATCATTTATGCCACCTCAGACTGTTTTGTTTTGTGCTTCCCTTTCACGCCTCCTTTATGAATCTGGCTTTTTTTCCCCATTGTGGTGTGTAGTTTTTATTAAATATGTTTAGCTTGTAACTTCACATAGATTGACACTTGGCAGATCCTCATTTTATCCAAAATACATGGTGTCTCAAAGCATTAAATCACTCCAGTACTCGCGAAGCCAGTAAGGCTCCTAACAGTTGTGGTCTGATTTGGCATGCACAGGATTTCAAGTGTACTCACAGAGAAGCGCAGCTGAGAGCAAAGTTTGCACCTCACTGCCAAAGATGGTGGCTAGTAGTGAAAAAGATGTAGTGACAGAAGAAATGTGCCATTCAGTTCCAGAAAGCTTTAGAAGATCTGCCAGATCCATTGGATTGGCCATTGTGGGTGGGATCGGGTCTAGTCATCTTTTTCATCAGCAAACTCTCTATCTGTGTATTCTGTGACCGAATATTTCAGAAAGGCCACATATTCTACCTATCTAGTCCTCTGGCAATACTCTATGAGTAGCTACTCTATAGAGGACAATAAATAGCAATATACCTGGAGACCTCAAGGAAAAGGCAAAACAAGCTTCTTCTTGGTACAAGCAGGAGCAACTAACTTTATTTTACAAGTACCAGGGTTTTCTAAACACTCAGCGCACAATAAACAACACTATTATTTGTTACAGTTGCTTTTCCCTTTTGTGCATGTCCACCTTGACAACAATGAGCTATCTAGATTGGCCAGGCAGCTATCTCAGGACAGTATGTATTACAATCCCGTTTTGGTCCCAGCAGGAGAGGCTCTGCCTCTTGTCCCTTTTATCACACAAGGTTATTCAATGAAGTGAGAATTCACAGTGAATTTCAAATTTTAGGACCACGTAACTGAACTTGAAGCTTAGAGGAAAGATACTTATTCCAAGTTGGCTATTGTGGCCTTAAAATTGAAATTCAATTTGAACTCACCTTCAATTCCTGATAATACTCTAGTGAATAACCCTGTTAGTTTTCTCTGGTTCCATTGGACTTACATCTGGACTAGCAGACGCAATGACATGCATGTTCTGTTTATAACACTGCAATGATCGGAACTCTGTTGGGATTGCTACAATGTGACAGCTTTATCCTCAGGCTAGTTTAGGGCAATCATATATCCCCCTGGGCTTGTTTGCTCCACACCGGAAAGCTACAGGAGTGAAGAGCACAGAGATCTGTTTATTTACACAGATAACGCCATCATGTTTACACCTGACCTGTATAACAGAATGGGATTTAAAGTTCTTGCATATCCATTTACTTGACATGAAAATTAATAATAAAGTACAGGTGTTTATTAATTCCTGGTACATTCATTAGGGAATACTCCTAAGCTACTACATGCAAAATTTTCAATTTGTATGTAATTGTTGGTGTCAAAACACTTCTACTTTCATAATTTTGGATATTTTGTCTAAACTGCACCATATGACAAGCAGTCCATCTCTAACATTTCGTATACTAATAAACCTCGGCAAGTTTGTTTATGATTCAGGCTGGGCATTTATGTTCTAATTAAAGGGACACTATAGTCACCTGAACAACTTTAGCTTAATGAAGCAGTTTTGGTGTATAGAACATGTCCCTGCAGCCTCACTGCTCAATCCTCTGCCATTTAGGAGTTAAATCCCTTTGTTTATGAACCCTAGTCACACCTCCCTGCATGTGACTTGCACAGCCTTCCATAAACACTTCCTGTAAAGAGAGCCCTATTTAGGCTTTCTTTATTGCAAGTTCTGTTTAATTAAGATTTTCTTGTCCCCTGCTATGTTAATAGCTTGCTAGACCCTGCAAGAGCCTCCTGTATGTGATTAAAGTTCAATTTAGAGATTGAGATACAATTATTTAAGGTACATTACATCTGTTTGAAAGTGAAACCAGTTTTCTTTTTCATGCAGGCTCTGTCAATCATAGCCAGGGGAGGTGTGGCTAGGGCTGCATAAACAGAAACAAAGTGATTTAACTCCTAAATGACAGTGAATTGAGCAGTGAAAATTGCAGGGGAATGATCTATACACTAAAACTGCTTTATTTAGCTAATGTAATTTAGGTGACTATAGTGTTCCTTTAAAGGCAATCACCATTGTATCTTTTTATAATGTTTGATGATACATTCCTAATACTGTGATGATTGACACTGAAACTCTCATTGATCTAGTAAGCAGGGTGCATCAGGGTTATAAAGTCCCCTCATGAAAATCTTTTGAGGTGAATAATCCACCCCCCCTACAGTCTACTGTGGCTGTTGTCATCTTCGTGCTCTGCCAGCACTGCTTCCTCATGCACTGCTTAGTGAGGCTGGGACCAGAGCGATGTCATAACTCAGCATCACCGCATGTTGCGAGGTAGCAGTTCTGGAAGAACATAGACATCAGCGATCACTCGCCACCAACCTTCTTTCTTTTCCCTGGACACAGCACCATTCAGGCAGAGGTGCCTACTCTGCCTTAGCGCACAGCAAGCCAGCTTCTGGCGTACCCCCTGCTTGTGGTGCACATACCCCATGGGGTACATGTACCTTAGTTTGAGTAGGAGGTAGAAAATGAAAAAATCTGTCACATGGCATTTGTAAATATAGCCGACACATTTATGCCATTACCATGGGCGTCCGCAGGAATTTATCCGGGGAGGAGGAAGGTGGGGGGTATAATTATATTGACATCCATGTTTGGCCCCTTTTTGATGGTGTCATGAAGGGGAGGGGCATAGTCATTATCACATAAAGCCAGGGTAAATAGCGTTTTCACGTCTATGGTGTCAGAAATACATGTATGTATTCCTGACACTATAGTGTTCCTTTAATCAAATTAAAGGAACATTTTGGTCACCATAACAACTTCATCTAAATGAAAATGTTGTGATGCTAGGAATCCCCTGGGTGCTCTCTTTCCTTTAACCCCTTAAGGACACATGTCATGATTCCCTTTTATTCCAGAAGTTTGGTCCTTAAGGGGTTAAACCTCTCTCAAATGGTTTAACCCCAAAGACTTGCTCCAGATCTCCAGTTCACTCAGTGGTATTCGGCTTCTGAAACGGAGTGACAGGAAGGGCAGATTGGTGTCAGGCATGGGTGCCACTGATTGGCTAGAGTCATCTGACGCTCTAAGTCAATCGCTAGTTCCCGGTTCATAAAAATGTTTTACTTTTTGTGAATGGGTGCCAGCTGACCGCTCTAGCCAATCAGCGACACCCCTACCCAACGGCACTCTGTGCTTCCTGACACACATAAATAAAAGACACATTACACTGAGATTTGTTTTTACCTGGGAAGATAAGAAGGTCAAAAGTTTCCCTGCCAGGCCCTGGTAACAAAGCCTTATGATTCACTTGTCCTTCTTGCTCAAATCTCCATTTCTTCTACTTCATTTGACACAGTCTTCTTATTCTTCTGACGCTATCTTCTCTCCTCCTTGGCTCCTTCTGCTCCTTTACCTTTCTGCTTCTTTTGCTCCCTTCTGCTCCTTTCTCTTTCTGCTCCTTGAAGACCCATTCTGATCCTTTGCCTACTTTACCTTTGTGCTCCTTCTGCCCCTTCCAGCTCCTTGCTGCCCCTTCCTGCTCATTTCTGTTCCTTCTCCTACTTTACCTTCCTGCTCCTTGCTGCCCTTTCTGCTCCTTGCTGTTCCTTTCTGCTCCTTCTGATTCTTCCTGCTCCTTTACCTTCCTGCTCCTTCTGTCCCTTTCTGCTCATTTCTATTCCTTTCTGCTCCTTCTCCTACTTTACCTTTGTGCTCCTTCTGTCACTTCCTGCCCCTTTCAGACCCTTCCTGCTCCTTGCAGACCCTTCCAGCTCCTTGCAGACCCTTCCTGATCCTTGCTGCCCCTTCCTGTTCATTTCTATTTCTTTCTGCTCCTTCTCCTACTTTACCTTTGTGCTCCTTCTGCTCATTCCTGCCCCTTTCTCCTCCTTCTATTACTTTACCTTTGTGCTCCTTTTGTCCATTCCTGCCCCTTACAGCCCCTTCCTGCTTTTTGCAGCCCCTTTGTGATCCTTGCAGCCCCTTCTTGATCCTTGCTGACTCTTTCTGCTCCTTGCAGACCCTTCCTTCTCCTTGCAGACCCTTCTTGCTCTTGTCTGCCCCTTCCTGCTCCTTGCTGACCCTTTCTGCTCCTTCTAC